TCTCTTGGAAGTTGGTTCCAGACCCTAGCCGCCCTGACCGTGAAGTCGCGCCTCCTGATGTCTAGCCCAAACCTACCCTCTGCCAGCTTGTGACCGTTATTCCTGGTCACTCCTGGCAGCGCTCGGGGGAACAGGGACTCCCCCAGTGCCTGCTGGTCCCCTCTGACTAGTTTGTAATAGGCCACTAGATCCCCCCCTCAGCCTTCTCTTGGGGAGGCTGAACAGGGTCAGGTCCCGTCGCCTCTCCTGCTGCCCCCTGATCACGCGAGTGGCCTCCTTTGGATCCTATCCATGTTGTCCACATCCCTCCTGAAGTGCGGCGCCCAGAACTTTTAAGATTTAAAAAAATCCTTGTGCTTCCATGTTATTTTGGGGCATTGGTTCCAATGTGGATCACCACCAGTGGATACTCCCCAGGCTATTTCAGAATCCCATCCAATATTGCATCTAATTTTCACACTTTTTCCTATTGTCCTTGTGTCCTTTGCTGAATTCTCTGTGTACTCATTAATGGCGACATGTCAGTGATAGCTGTTTGCTTTCTTTCATGGGGAGGATTAAGAACCTCACCTGGTAGTTGCTTGTTTCAGACTGCAAAGATGTCCATGAGGCTTGTCTCTATAGCTTTCCGTTCCACTTCTCCTGGGACAAATCCCTCAACAGCTCAGTCTGATAATAACTTGATACTTATCCAAGTTGAAAGCCTCCTGGTTCTTTCCCTGTTACAGTCAAATTGCCAGTGCACTTCTTGGATTTCTACTCTCTCCAGTTCTCTTTTTACTGATGATTTTCTTTGTGGTCTCGCACCTTTTTCACACCCCGGGAAGTTCTATGTAGCATCCAAAAAATGCTGAAACTTGAGCTTCCAGAACATGCATCGCACTACTTATTTGTATTATCGTAGCACTCGTCAGCATGCAGTTCGCACACCTGAAATCCCACCTGTCTTCTGGGAAAAAAGGGAAAGCACAGCAGATCTGAAGCAGGTTAAAGCAGTGGTTTCCTCATTGTCCATATCTGCTACTGACATGGAGCCGAGCAGAGACTGAAAGAACTACATTGTCTCCTCTGATCTCCTCTCAAAACTCCCGTTTGCTGCTCTGCTTACCTGGCAACTGGCACATCCTATAAGCTTTGCTGATGAGCTGCAACCTTTTGCTAACTGGAAGCAATGACTACCAAACATCAAATACTGGGTCTGATTGTCTCTCCTAAGCACAGCCCTCAGAGAAACAGACCGTGGTCACCTGGCGTCTTCAGGAGCTCAAGACCTCACCGCTCGAGTTCACCGAGTCCTTTTCCTTTTAACAGCAGGATCCTGTACTTACCTCCCTCTGGAACTCCTATTTGCCACTTTCCTCCTCCTATTAATATCATCATCTTTTTAGACTGGATTCTGTTTTCAATACGCTATACTGAAAGGTTTATGCAGGAACAGTTAGAGAGTCCTTGCTGCCATAGATGAAGCTGTACTGAAGCAATGTTAATGGGTTAAGGGTGGTTACCCAGTTCATTGACATAAAATAGAGTATTTGGAGAAGTCCACTACAGCCCAATTTAGAAAGGCAAGAGGCTCGCTGGAAGCTTATACTACTTCTTTAGAGTATCCACAAGCGTGCTAAAAGCTCTTAAGAATGCATGCCAAATATGGGTATCTACCGAAGAAACCACGTTATCCACCTCAAACAAGCAGATGAGGCATTCGCCTAAACTGGAAGTACAGATACCTCGTACAACGAGTCAAATTACTCCTACGCAAACTCTGCCAGGAGCCCTGTAGACTCCCAGCACCTTACTCATGCTTCTAGGCAAAGAGGCCAACGTTTTCAAACAAGGCTGGCTTGAATTTAGGTGTCTAAATCCACATTTCATCAGCTGTAGTACTTGACCTGTGGAAGCTGAAGATTAATAGCACTTTAAAAAATGAGATATGTATGTTTCCAAACAGTGGCCCAAGCACCATGCTAAACACACACGAGGGAATCTGCAGGGATTAAGTAGATAAGGGATTCTGAATAAAAAGATAGGAAATGAAAAGTCAAAGGTCTAGGCAACCAGAACGTACCAGAAATGCTTACAAATCTTTTGACTTGAGTCACTAGTAACCAGGAAACCTCTGGAAAACCACATTCTCTTGACTGTAGCAATGTGCACTATGTGACGCAGTAGTCCCCCATGTTATTTTATGCTTTTTAAATTTAAAGTTAAAAAAAATTAAAACGCAAAAAAGGAGTGCTCCTGATTTTCTCCTTTATCCAATGGGAGCTTTTTGTTGTTGTTGTTTAAAAACTATGTTTCTCCAGGAGCATAATATATTGCACCTCTTCAAAGACCCATGATCCCAGGTGGGAGTTCCAGCAGACATACAATCTTTAGCCAGCCATCTCTCTCCTGCTTTAACAGAAGTCGTGGGTTTTTTTTCAGAGCATGTTTGACATTATAATGTTTTCAAGTTGTGGCTTTCATAGGGAGTTGCACCTGATTTTTGGAAGTCTGTTTAATCTGAAAAGTTAATGCCAGTAAATTAAATATCATTTACTTTCACCCACGTACTGAATACAATCAAGTAAATGTTACCAGAGAATTGAGGAAAACACACAAGAAATCTGCAAGTCATCTTCAGACAATTTACTGGCACTGGTACTTCAAAATGAGCTGTAAGCTGTGGCTTTTTTGTGTTTTTTAAGTAGGACAATGAAACCTTTGAAGAGCACAAAGAGTCCATCACAATTTCCTGCATTGTCTCCTATACTCCTTTTGGCAAGAGGTTACATATTCTGTGCATCACTTAGTAAGTTATGACTTGGAATATGAAAGTTTTATGACTGCTTGCTTTTGGAATCCTACCATGCACTTCACGATTATTTACCTTTACAAAATGAATCTCTGTTCCTTTGAAAAGCTGTTTGCCTCAAGGGTCAGCACAAGAGACAGAGATAGAAACGAAATGTGTGTTACATGTTTGCGCATTAACTAGTGCAACAGAGCTGGAATGTCTAGATCTGAGAGCAACATGGATGATTTCACTTGTACTCCTTGCCCTAATATGAACATTTCTTCACTATAAATTTGGAAGTAAAGGGGGGGGAAAAAAATCACTCGTAACCTAAGCAATGTTATTAGATGAGTCACTGTTTTTTTTTTACAAACAAGTCATACCCATAGCAAAATCTGCATTCCAGTTTAGCCTCCTCCTAATACTGTTGAAGTGTATATAGATCTCCTGCAGAAGCTAGCAAGTGCATAACCAGCTGCCAATCCATAAGCCGCACCAAAGTCACTGCACCCAAGTCATTAGAGTGACATTTCTGCCAGTGCAGCCACTAAGAACTAAGAGAGACCCAGAATAGTCATAGGAGGAAAATTTAAGGCTAGCATTTCCAGGAGCTCTCAGTAATTCAAGAACACAAGTCTTGCTGACATTTGCTCAAGCACTGGTGAAAATCCCCTGCTAACTGTGTTAACATTTCTTCCTAATAACTTAGCAGTAGAAAGTCAATAATGGAGAATGGCTTATTGCGCATCCAGACTCTTGCACTGCACGTCTGTGCTGGCATCAGTACAACATATTACGCTAGCAGATTTAAAGCTTCTCTGCAGTTACAGCTACTGCTACATCTTGGGTCATGGCACAAACACCTCATTATAAATTCTCATGGGAAACCCGAGAGCCGCCTCTGGAAAGAAAAATGCACTGAATTACTGGACGGGCGGGATGAATATTCTTATTTTAAGCAGATACTTACTGTGAGAGAAGCGCTGTGTTATCGGGGTTCCAGGATAGGGATATGTGCGACTCTCCCACTGAATATTTCCCTCTTGGACTGCCTTGATAAAGCCATGATAACACTGATGGGCCACACCTACATAAAGGAGACAACGATACTTAGCACGTTTCTGGGCATACACTGATTGCTATGAAACCCAGAAGGAAGAACAATTCCCTGATGATCAGGACAATTTTGAAGAAAGCAAACAAGCTAAAATACAGTCAAATCATAAAGGCAGAGGGCAAGGTAGAGCTGTACCTTGAAGACTAACTGAATCAATTGGTCTCATTCAGTTATCTGCAAGATGCACCTACACCTTGCCTTCTGCCCGACCTCAGCCTAACATGGGTAAATACCCCTCTCTAAATCACAGAGGTCACTATCTGACTCACATTACTCTCCTTGATGATTAAGTGGTCCAAATCCATATTCCACGTAATGTATATAATGTAGGATATCCTGTTCTCTCTGGAATTCTTACCTGCTGGGTTTGGGTTTTTTTTGTCATAGTTGGTGTAGTGAGCCTTAGAGGTCTAAAGAAAATCTCCCTAGGTTAATACCTATCCAACAGATATAAGACTAGTAAGAGAGAAGCAGCATGGAAGGCTTAAGCAGCAGGTTAGTGATTAAAGAAGGAGTCCTTGCATTTGGACACATGGATTATAACTTTTCCAGTGAAAACCGACAGAGGAGTCAAGACAGCAGAGGACAAAGACTAGTAAAAATCAGAACTCAGTAGCAATTTACACTGTGCCTCTACACTTAGCCTCAATTACCAGACAACTTCAGCAGCTTGACGATGGAACAAAACTTTGTGAAATCTAATCATGCACAAGTGGTAAACACAAGTTACACTCTACTGACCAAAGCCAGGTAAAGTGGACTATCAGCTCTGAAAGGCAGTTGGCTACCACACTCCAGAACTGCCTGACCAAGATAAAAGCACAATTAAAAAGGGAAATATGTCAGAAAGCTGTATAACTGGAGACTGAAAACTTGGGAGATCTTAACTTAATATTCCAAAGACCTGGACTACAGCCAAAAAGAAACACGGTGAATATAAGCTGGGGAAAGGTGTACGAATAATGACAAAAGCCAAGTGTAACCAGTGGCCAGCCAATACCCTCCCTTAAAGAACAATGCAATGCAGCTCAGTCTGCCAACTGGAGTCATAAACACCAAAACAACAGGTTAGGAGCTGGATGCTGAGGATGCCTGTACATTGGGTCTATGTAAGCGTAGCACACCTTTGGGACTTATAAGAGGTAAACAATCATGTACCTTAGTATAAACATTTTAGCGCTCTGTGATGCCAGATAAGGCTATTGTGTCCTAATCACCATGAACATTAACATCTGTGCATGACTACTGCTTCTATCAGATGAGCATCTGCTCTTTTACTTAGCAGACCTTTGAGGAGCTATAATGCTACAATGAAGTCCTAAGAGCCTGTCTACAACTACTGGGCAACACTCTGAAATAAATCTCCAGTTAATATTCCTATCAGAATATGCCTTAATTAAAAATCTGTTCATTTCTAAAATTACTAAAGAGCAAACCTAGCTTCTTTGCCTGGGATTATGATGATTCCCTTGTAGATCAGGGCCAAGGCCAGAGCTCCTGCTCTGTGTATGGCATTATGGCTTGTACTGTGGGAGCCCAGACTCTGCCTCCAATAGTAAAAGTAGGGTCTGCCGAAGCTTTCTAGCTGCCTGGCTGCCACAAAACAGCTCAGCAGATGTTCAATGATCCAGGAACATCTGTTCCCACCAACATCCACAAAACATGCTGTGCCAAGTCAAGATGCTCACGCCTGGCACAGAATAAGATTTAGCTTAATGGAACCTTAGCATTAGCAAAAAATGCCATATTGCCTAGCAAAAGAACAAAGATCCTAGCTTTAGTTCACCATCATCTACTTGCAGCACACAGGCAGTTGCAGTTTATTAGAGAAACGCAATACGCTTCATATTAGAACCTGGTGTTTAAGTGTTGTTTTACTGAAGATACACAGCTGAAAGTAGAAGGTACTTCAATATACTCAATTGTTTCTCCATACTGGGGATCTGTGCTATGGGTAGAAGTCAAAGTGAAGACACTAGATCTTTCCCTGGATTTTTTACTAAAAGCAAAGCATTTCATACTCTGGGATGTGGCAGGAAGTTACCAAAGTGAAGGTCTAGTTCCCTGAGCAGCTGAACCCCAAGAGGCCACAAAGGAAACAAACTGAATCATAAGATTTCAAAGCAGATGTATCCTGACAAACAGGAAAAATTAACAAGTAAAAAACAAACTAACCGGGGCCTGGGCTATGGGGAATGGAGGAGACGGGATCTGAATGGGAGGGCACAGCCGTGCACATTACCAAGGTCTAGGAGAGTACTAAGAAGGAGTAATCAGATGGCATCTTAACCTTGCATGTTTTGATTAGCCCTTTCGCACTTCCAATTACATCACATGAAGTCTGCCAGCTCCATGTCAGATCACTCGGTACATACAATACCTCATGTTTTTATAGTACATAAGACGCTTCAAATCAAAGCCGCTAATCGTCTGCGCAGAGCAAGGTAAGCTTACGGCTTTGGTGGTTCTTCTAGCCCTAATTCTGCAACCACAGCAAGACTCTGCAGATCCAGATTACTAATGAAGGGGATGGGGAAGCAGTGAGAGTTGAATGTTTAGTATGAAACAAAAAGTTGGACAGGAATATTAGAGGTGTCCATAACAAACAGGGACAGATTCTTACTGCTGCTGTTTGTACCTTTGATAAGTCGATACCACTGTTTGCAGACAAGGGCAGCGGTTTTGTGCTCCTGATATGGTGAGAGGAAGGACAAGATATATTCCAAAACCTCTTCTGGCAACTCCAGCATCGATCTGTTATGCCTCGTCTCCTCGACCTCCAGCTCTGCGTGCGGCTCGTCATCTTGCTCCATTGTCCCTTCCACCACTGCTTCTTCCGGGTCCACAGCCATGAAACTGTCATCTTCACTGTCAGAGGAACTGGCCATGGCATTCCACTTCAAAGCTTCAAAGGGAAAAGAAGGAACACACACATTAAGGTCATGTAGAAAGAGAGAGCTTAAAGTCCCCAAAAACTTGGGATATCATGTCATCTTGTATTGAGGAGCTGTGTGTGGGGTTTACAGTACGTTCTACCTTAGTAAACTCCAAAAGGGAGAGGGATCCTCAGAGCTTCAACAGCAACCAGAAACAAAGAACGGGAATGAAGTAGCCGCCTTTCTGCTGCTCCCCTTTGCTAAACCAGTTTTGCTACTGAGCGCACTTCAAGGCTGTTGTAACTTTGCAGGGAGTGAGAGAGGGGGAAGAGGAGGAAGTTTTGTGCACCTCTCCCTTTGGGAGCTGCCTGCTCCAATAGCTTCTCTGGCATGTCTGTAGCTCTATTTGTGCTGCTATATTGAGACAGCTTTAAGGGGAAAGCTGGAAAAAAAATAAGCCTTCACCACCACTTCTTGTCTTTTCACACAGGCTTTACAATTCTGTTAAAAAACGACATTTAAATCCTATGCCAAAAGGTGTTTCAGTATTATTTGGTTGCGGTGTGGACGTAGACTACCTGTCACACCCGGTCAGCCCTCCCAAATGATTTATAGCACGCGAAGCCAAACTAATGACTTCCAAAACATGTGATCACCATGGTTTTCTCATTTACTAGGGCAGTGACAGTGTATGGAAAGAGAAATTGGCTGAGCTGCCTGCTGAAGTGACCAAGCGGGTCAATGAAATCACCCTTGTATGCGACTGTGGGACAGGATTTATAGAGCAGTTTGGAAGGTTACAGTAAAACTAAGGTGAACAATAGTTTCAAGAGGCTTCAGCCTACTGGTGACATTAGTTAAGCTTAGTGCAAAACATCACGTGTGCAGCACTGAAGTTTATAACACCGAATGCTGGGGTAGGGTCACCAGCTTCTAACATGTGGATCTCAGCCACTTCGCCACTTGTAGCTACAGTACTCCAGCCTCAGCCCCCATCCTGCAAGTCTATTGATCAAGAAAAAACTTATACCAGTGGCATAGTCAGATCATTCCAATTCATTCATATTTAAAGGCCTTAAAATTAAGTTAGCTGCTACTGACAGTTAAGGTTTAAACACCAACATGGATCACATTCATTTGAACGGTTCGCTCCAGGGGCAGATCCAGATGACTTCATTGAAGAAATTCAATCCTGTATCAGCTGTTTAAGCAGCCAAGGAAAGCTACAACCTATACCCCTGAAACAAGGAAAGCTTTACACTTGGGGACTCACCAGCAAGGACCTCAACAAGGCAAGATCTCCTCCTCAAGTCCCCTCTCCCCCACTCCTCGTTTGGGGTCAGGGTCTAGAGACAGAAAAGGCAAAATAAAAACGGAGCTACCCTTTACCTGCCTCTGCCATCCTGCTGATGGAATGAGACAAGACTGGCTTATGCAGCCTGCCCTGCTTGCATCTGGTTAAATGAGCTGTTTCTCAATGAGAGAAACATAGTTCACTTGGCAGCCAAGTTATTTCAGAGGTCACTGACTGCTTAAAAATCATTTTAAAAAGTGACAAACTGTTACCTGTACCCCAACTACCATTAGCTATTTGCGAGTCTGAAAGAACAAAGAGACTAGTTTTATCAACCACGTTCATCATTTTAGCTGGGTAGCATGAAGAAAATTATAAATATATCATCACTAGCCTGATTTACCTGTTTTTAACACCTGCTCTCAAAAATCTGGGTTGCAAATAAGAAGATGTTTGCAATTCAATAAAGAACCATTTCCCCCTGTTTTTTTTAAAAAACGGTTTGGAAATCTTCTGCTCCAAAAGCAAGAAATGGAATCAAAATTTGTATAATCACCAGTGGACAAGGCCCTTTTAATGGAACAAAAACAGCTTATCCTTATAATGATTAACCACTTAACACATTGCGGCTACATAAGATTTGATTCTCACACTAAAATATATCTCCCCCAACTTGCTCAAATAATACTCAGCACCAGAAATAAAGAGAAACACATCCTAAGGAAGGTCCTTCAGACTGTCAATCGTGTCATTCCCCCCACACACGCCCCGTTTCTTAATTCCCATCATATGTTTCAAAAGCTTCACTTGGAGGTCAGCTGGGCAAGTCAAACTTTGGCTTTAATATACAGTTAAAAAGTGGGAGGAAGGATACTGCTGACAACACTTTTATATTGAAATTCATGTTAATTCTAGGGTAAAATAAGTAGAAAGTTAGAAGACTGTGTGCTAGTTTCTTGCTAAAAAGTGATAGCTGCTTGCTCTTATCTTACAGACATCAACAATGGTCTAGTCCATACATCAAGCAACAGTTTCTCATGTATTTGACAAAGAAAAAAAAGAAATTCTCCTGGGGAATATATGGCTGGTGACACCACTTTATCAACCTGCTGTATTTTAGGAGTTGCAGATTTAAAAGCACTTCTGCAATGATTTACTTATCAACCATCGCTATAAAAAGGAGAAAAAAAGCAAAAGCTTATTTGAATGCAAGCGTCCAGTTGCCCAGTCCCAGCTGATAGAAAAAAGATAACCGTGTTTTAGGGCACTTCAGGCTTTTGTCACTCACTCTAGCTATTTAGTGAGGGCTAAAGTAAAAAGTTAATACAGCAACAAAGGTAATAGATCATGAAATGCTCCCATCTTAACCGATAGCTGCAGGCAATTTTACCAATCCGCATGGTACAGACTTCTGTATTCAGTAATTAAACCCATTCCAGTCATTTAAAAAAAAGAAAAAAAGGTGACCCCAGTCCCCAGGAGGATGAGTAATCTCATATTAGTGGAGGAGTTGCGGTAATTTGGCCTTTCGTAGACAGCTGCCAGGCTGAAGCATCAGTGGGATGGGCTCTGCTGCAGCTGCTACATAATTACACACTCAAAGCCAGTTCAAACCACCTTTTAATGTTCACTCCAATGATACCCTAATGAAGAGCAGTAACATCCACTCCTGTTCCCAGGGGAACGCCATGGGGAGCTGTTTTGTTTCGTTTTTTTAAACTGTGATTAACTCCCTTTTAGCTTTTTAAAACAAAGGCCCAAATTAGAAAGGTTGGTTTTCAGTTGATAAAAAGTGGATCAACCTTTCTCACCTTTTAAAACAAGGCGATCAATATAAGCAGGCTTTTCAGATGGCTCCTAGAGGCAGGAACTGGAGTAATGCTGCTCCTCTGCACAGGATTCAAGAAAGGTTCAGGTGCTGCGATATACTTTGGGAATCAACTGAAGTGGAGGAATCGCGGACAGGTAGGCTGAACCCAAGTAGACAAGAAACTCATATATGTATAAAAAAAATCAGCTTGCATGCAACAATTTTAAAAACAGAATTAACTCAGTTTAAATCCTTTGCTGAAGACCCGATAACAAAACCACGTACAAATATGAGAATCCTGATCTAAACTAGAGGCTTGTTGAAGCCTTTGGAATAAGCCATGTTAACTGTAAATTTAATTATACGGTTTCTCACATTAGCAGATGCTCTCAAAATCTTCTACCGTCTTAACTCCCTCATATGATCAATGTTATGACAAAGGAAGCCTGGAATTAGATTAATTTGACATAACTGCCGTTACTATTAGCAAACTGTGTGGAGCAGCATAGTCTGGCACCCTGCGACTTTCAAACCACTAAAATGGGGGTGGGGAGTAACACAAGGTCAAAGATGCTTTTACAGAAGGTGGGAGGAGGATGGCAGCAAGACTATGGAAGCTCCAAGATGCCAAGGAAGGAGAACCTTTAACAGGCTATTAAATTGTTTCAGCTATACACTTGCTTTATTGTATCATCATCATCAACTCAAAAGGAAACCAAAGCAAAGAAGCAGCTAGAGAAATGTCAGACCACCAGGCATAATAAAAAATTCTGCTTGTGACAAGCTGACTTTTCTAGATGGAAGGAAAGAATTAAAAAAAGGCACAGAAGTCAAGCATTTGTCACCTTTGCACTGGATTGGTGTTATTCACTCTGCTTAGACCCAGACAAAGCAATCCCTAAAAAAGCTATAGTTGGTAGAAGGAAGCAGCACTCGTGGTAGGAGATGATCTCTTTTATTAGGCCAACTAGGTTTTTTGCAAAAAAAATCATTGAATTGGCAGACACACTATAAAAGGCCCTTACCAGACTAGAGCAGGGCTTGAAAAAAAAATCAAATTACCCCAACCATTTCCTGGCAAGTGATACAATCTAAGTTACCAATTTCTTCAGAATTGAAGCTTCCATATTTAAAAAAAAATATAAAACGCCAGTCCTTATAGTCAAGATCCTTGTAATGTAGCAGTGCGGTATCTTCCAGCGGCTGCTCTCTAATTGCAAGGAACAGAAACACTATACCTCATCAGAGGCCGTGTGAACATTGCTAGCACAGACACTACTTGGGTATCCCCGCTCTGAGAAAGGCATGCAGTTTATCCTGCTCTCCAAGTCTCGCATTCACGTCCTCGCCGGAGGACACAGAACTGATGGTGCCTCATTTATGGCATTCCACACAAATCTGCTCCCATGTCTATTTAAAGCTTCCACCTACATTGCAATTCCTTTTTTTTTTTTTTCCCCCCCCTCTTTTTGACAAACTCCTCTGCATCTTCAGCACAGATTGGCTTCAGAGCCAGCGTGCTGACACTAAACTTCAACGAGCACAACAGAGTAGCAATTTCAGATTTACCAGCTTTCAAAAAAATTACGTAATAAGACACAACTTTCACCCACATATGTCATATTTTATTACTTCTCTGACAGCAGGAAAGGCATCTGGAATGCTCCAGAAGACATCCATGTAAGCCCAGAGAATGCTCCAGAATGAGAAGGGAAATTGCACCTAGGTTTCCTTTTCTCTGCCCTGGATCTGCAGATTTTTTTCTGCTATCAAGAGCAAGGGTCGGCAGCATACGGCCAGGCATGCAGAGCTGTGCCTGTGTCAGGGCCAGGCAGTGGGGAATCATACCCAGGGAATCATACCCGAGCCAGGTATTTTCCAGGTGCACCCATCCTTCTGCTGCTTTTCCATGCCCTTGCAGCAGC